ACAGTTTACTATAATAGTGATCTGTGATTGGCTAGAGCTGTTAACATGGTACAGGGTGCTATGATTGGCCCCATGTATCATATGAGAGCTGTGAGCCAGTCACAGCTCACCAAGAAGAGAAGCAGAGCTCTTATGAATCATATGGATTCATAACAGCTTTGCTAACATTGTGAACATGTGATCGCATAGCAATCACATGATCACCGTGTCCCGTTCTTCGGGATCTTCATTCACAGGTGGGGAGCCCCCCTGTGTTAGTAAAGCCAGAGCGACATACCAATATGTTGCTTTGCCTGTAACTGCCACCCGTCCACAGTACATTGCGGGTGGGTGGGCGGCAAGCAGTTAATTCAGCAGCACCTTCCTGCATAAATATTGTTTTCTGTTTACTTTGAACTTTTGTTCACTCCCCTGAGGATAGTAGATCTTTTACCTTGAATATCTAACCATTTTCCACGAATGCCAAATAAAGTGCTCACTGGTATCTCAATACCTGTTCAAGCGAAAGCCACACATCTGGTCTTCTTCTATCCTTGTGAGCAAGCCAGGACTGGGGAAACGCATCAAGGTTGTTTTTTTGGGTGGAGACACTGTTGTAGTCATTCACTTTCCTGACAATTAATAAATAGTGCAAAAGGAGCTATGTTTGGAATGCAGCTGATATTTTTTCATACCACACATCTGCAAATTGCATGAAACTCAAATTACTGGCAGCAAGGTCATGAGCCTTAAAAAGAGTATAGGTGGCCATTAATACAATGCCACCTATTCTAATTAATCAAGGGGTGGTAGTGTGTTAATGCATAAAATCACTGTCTTTTCAGCTCTTGGATTTCGAGCAGGACCCAAATGGGAAAATATATTGTAATGCATCTTGGGATGCAATGGGGGAGATTTACTGGAGCACACAGAATCTTGTGCAACTGTGCATAGTAGCCAATCTGCTTCTAGGTTTTATTTTTAAAGCCTAACTGAACAAGCTGAAGTTAGAAGCTGATTGGTTATTTAGCACAGCTACATCAGATTCTGTGTGCTCCAGCCTAAGTAAATTCCCCAGAATGTGTTGTACTTGTTCTTGCGGGTCTATATCTGCCCCCTCCTGCCAAAACCCAATCACTTCACAAGTTGGTGCCATTAGTGACTCAGTATCCAACTAATAACAGCCTATTTCTCCGAGATTTTAACCTGACCCTCTGCCCTTTGTAGGATAGACTAACTTTCAGTCCAATTGTATCTACAGAACTTTCCAAATGGGCCAATATTTATAGCTTTACAGATGACTGGAAATTGAAAAACCCTGAAGGGCAACCCCCTACTTTCTCACAATGAAAATCGATAGTCGATTCAGTTATCCATTTGTATAAATTCACCTACCTTAGCCTCAATTGCCCTTAAAAAATTCAGAAATGTGTCTGGCTGGCTGGCTTATGCGTGATCTGCTGAATAGCTCCCCATGATTCTCGAACTGTGCCCCTCCAGAAGGATCTTTGTATGGTATTGTATTATTTCCTCCTATACAGAGTCTTATACCTTCATATGTAAATTGCCTAAACAGAACTCATCAAGCTTGCTATATGTAAAGAATATGGTATTGCTATTTGTATAACTATGTCATACAGCTAAAATATCTCTGTATGCCATTCTGTAATCCTGCAAATTCTACTCCGTGTCCACTATGTATGTATGTAAGAAGTTGGAAAAATTCAATAAACCTTTACTGGTAAACACATCATAATTAACTACATTGTACTCAATTTATGCATAGTTGAGTAACAAAAATTATAGGTTTTTTCTTGTGTAAAAACTCAGTTTTATTTCCCATGCTTTTTGCTTTTTTCCATCATCTTAAAAATTGTGCAAAAAACATAAATCACAGCTTTTATTCAGCCTTCATATTACTCCATTGATTTAACACGTTACATGATTGACAAGATGTCATATTCAGAATGCAAAAGGATGTTGTGTGAATATGTTCTTGTACACACTTTATCAGTAAATGGAATACTTAGCCAACATGAGTCATTTTCACAAATTTAGCTGCTTACTGAGCTGGAATCTTGTGACTGTTCTCAGGAATTTTCTGCTTCCTCTTTTCAATGAACGAAAGCAAAATATTATGTGGTTATTATACATTTTTCTATTTATTTTAGGCAAGACTGAGGAAAAACACTAGTATGTCTATGGCATAAAGCCAAGAAAAAATACTATATGTCATTATTGTTGTGCGAGTTTATTCTTTCCGGCAAGTTTCTATATTACTGTTTTGACTCACCGAGATAACTGTACAGGAACAATAACCATTTTCCGGTTTATCATTCACACATACATCATACAAGATATCTGTGTCGTTACTACTATTACTTCAGTTAATGGAATTATAAACACTAATAACTAAAACATTACTAAACATAGTGTATGTTTATCTTTGGGGTTGTTGGCAATATCAATAGAAATATCTACACATTTTTTTTTCCTATAGTACCTGGATTTGGATTGGGATCAGCTTGTAGCCAACCTCTGTATATTAGAATCCTAGACTGGAAGAGGAGAACCAAGTAGGTGTGATGTAAAGGAAAGGACAGATAGTGGAGTTCACCAGTGTGCTGGTGCTCAATCATTGTCCACTCACAAAATGCATTGCTCTTACTGCGGTAGAGAAATGTGTTTGGGTGTGCTGTCTGCTAGACCAGTGTAAATCTCAGGACTGGCTTTACAGACCTAAAATCCTTTTTTAAAACACCTCCCACATATATATTTCAACTGTGTGTTTAACTGTCTAAACAACAGTTTTAATATTACAGAAAAGTTTAACCACTTGCTCCCCTTCATGACCCGGCCAGTTTTTGCTATGCAGCGATGCGCTACTTTAACTGACAATTGTGTGGTAATGCTACTCTGTACCCAAACAAAATGTATATTTTTTCATACAAATAGAGCTTTCTTTTGGTGGTATTTATTCACTTCTAGGTTTTTTATTTTTTGCGCGTATAAACATAAAAAAACTACAATTTTGAAAAAAAAAATTTTTACTTTCTGCTATAAAACATATCCAATACAAATATTATAAAAACCTAATTTCATGATTACTTTAGGCCAATATGTATTCAGCTATATGTCTTTTGGAAAAAAAATCCCAAGAAGTGTATATTGATTGGTTTGTGTAAAAGTTATAGCGTCTACAAACTATGCGATATATACTGGAATTTTTTTTTTTTGTATACTAGTAATGGTGGCAATCAGAGACGGGACTGCGTTAGTGCAGTGGCCAATCTGACACTAAATGACACTTTGCGGGAACTAACTGCCACTGACATTACCAGTGCCATTATCACAGTGATCAGTGCTAATAATATGTACTGTTACTGTACTAATGACACTGGATAGGAAGGAGTTAACATCTACGGCAATCAAGGGGTTAAATATGTGCCTAACAAGTGTTTGTATGTGTACTTTGTGCTGCTTTTACTGTTGTTTTAATTTGCTGCTTAGCAGGACACCAACTAGATCTGCTGCCACTGAACACAGCTCTGTGCTGTTTGCACTCACAGAGCTGTGTTCTGTGAGTCTCAAACTTTAGAGCCGCTCACTGTGTGCTGCAGTCAATCACGGGCCAGGACTCGTTGATCACAATGTGCTGTGATGAATCACAGCACAGCTTGGTGGGAAGACACGCATGCGCGCTCCCCCTACCTGGAAAAGCAGAATCACTTATATTTATATGTGGTTCTACACAGAGTGGCTGCCCTGTAGCAGCAAAGTTACATGGGCCAATCGGCAAGCAGTTAATAAAAAGTGTGGAAAAGAATAGCTGAATGTGTTCTTTTTTTGCAAAATAGTTCAGTAAAAATGTGATTGTAGACAGCAAAAGAATTGTTGGATGTTTGCACAATAAAATGTGTTAACTTCATCCCCCATTTTTAAACACCCTAATTTTATCAGATTTTTCCCATTCCACAATGCAAAAAAAAAAAAACATTTTTATTTATCGTAGTCATTTTGGTAAGCACACAGTATTACTGGCTGTGTTGGAAGAGGCATGTCATGGGTTTAATTCACTAAATAAGTTATTTCCACCCTCACTCATTTTGAAGTGGTCTTAAAGTTTTTTTTTTTACCTGCATGCAGTTCTTGTCACCACAGTTGAAAACAATTCCTGGTTTGACCCCACTTAAGATTAGAAAATCGAAAATGAAAAAATTTTATTGGAATTCTAGTAGTGTATGGTCAGCTTTAGGGTGGATACAGTCAATCCTCCACTTATGGCTGCTTTCACACTGATCTGTTTTTCTTCCACTATTGCACTAAAAAAAGCGAAAGAAAAATGTAATCCTATGAAACTCTTCACACTTAATTGTGGGTCCACTGTGTTTTTTAACCACTTGCCTACCAGGCACTTATACCCCCTTCCTTACCAGGCCAATTTTCAGCTTTCAGCGCTGCCGCACTTTGACAATTGCGTGGTCATGCAACATTGTACCCATATGAAATTTTGATCATTTTTTTCTCACAAATAGAGCTTTCTTTTGGTGGTATTTAATCGCCACTGGGCGCTTTACGTTTTGCGCTATAAATTAAAAAAGTGCAAAAAATTTGAAAAAAAAAAAAAAAAAAAAAGTTTCTTTGTTTCTATTATAAAATTTTTCAAACAGGTATTTTTTCTCCTTCACTGATGTGCGTTGATGAGGCAGCACTGATGGTCACTGATAGGCGGCACTGATGGGCACTGATAGGCAGCACTAAAGGGCACTGATAGGCAGTACTAATGAGGTGGCACGGATAGGCGGCACTGATAGACAGCACTAATGATGTGTCACGGATAGGCGGCACTAATATGCAGCACTGATAGGCGGCACTGATAGGTGACACTGATGATGGGTACTGATAGATGGCACTGACTGGCATCACTGCTGGGCACTGACTGGCGGCACTGACTGGCACAACCGCTGGGCACTGACTGGTGGCACTGACTGGCAGCACTGCTGGGCTGCACTGGTGGGCGGCACTGGTGGGTAGCACTGGTGGGTGGGCACAGGTGGGTGGCACTGGTGGGCACAGGTGGGTGGCACTGGTGGGCACAGGTGGGTGGGCACGGGTGGCACTGGTGGGCACAGGTGGGTGGCACAGGTGGGTGCACTGCTGGGCACAGGTGGGTGCACTGCTGGGCACAGGTGGGCGGAACTAGTGGGCGCACTGCTGGGCACAGGTGGGCAGAACTTGTGGGTGGCACTGCTGGGCACCGATCATCAGGGCACTGATCATCAGTGGCCCTGATGATCGGTGCCGATCCTCGCTCTGACAACTGCCGGTTCTCGGCAGTACTTTCCTCACGATCTGACAGCGTGAGGAAAGTGCAGCCGAGAACCGGCACTTGCATTTCCCTGTGATCAGCGTGTCATTGGACACCGCTGATCACGTGGTAAAAGGCCGGTATGATCGGCCTTTTACCACATCTCGTGATCAGCTGTGTCCGTAGGACACAGCGATCACGGTGATCGCCGGGTGCGCGCCCCCTGGGGTGCGCAGGAGAGCGCGTTCTGGGGGGACGTCATATGACGTCCACCCAGAACTGGCCGGCCGCAGTGAAGCCGTCATTTGGCTATCTGCGGTCGGCAACTAGTTAACCTCTTCACACCGGCCAAACGCAAATGTGCGGCCTCCCGGGGTCTGGGACTAGACACCGAGCGGCCGCACATTTGCTTTCTATTAAAAAAGAACATATGTGCTGAGAGTGCGTGCCCTGCGCGCTCCCAGCACACATGTCCAGTACTCACGGAAAGGTCCCAAACTCGTCTTTCGATCGGGACCTTTCCCGATCATGTGACTCCTGTGATGGCGTGTCACTGGGGTCACATGACTCTAAACTCCGCCCCACCTCCCGGCTTCTGAAACCCTTAAAGGGCCAGGAGGCGCAGGCACCAAGGGGTTAAAAGCCTGCTTGCTACATTTTTGGTGCAGGTTAGGTGCGGTAGAAAAACTGCACCAAAAACACACCTCATTGAAATTAATGGAAATTGTGCATTTTTTAAACACATGTCCATTGAAAAAACGCACCACACTTGTAGTAAAAACGCAGCCAAAACGTATATGTGTTTTTGCCACGTTTTTGCTACGGATCAGTGTGAAAGTAACCCTTATATGCAGGAGAAACTGAGCCAACCTAGGAAAGAAGCATTGACAACCTGTAGAGATGGTAGCGTATGATGGACTTTACATAAATGTTTAACAAATGAAAGCTTAACCTTAACTGAAAAATTTTAAACAGTCACTGGGATAAAGATTTTCTGGGCCACAGTTAGAAATCATGGGGCCTCGTACAGCCTACCTGACGGGGCTCCCTTTTGACCCCACCCCTGGCCCCTCCCCAGCTGGAAACAAAATACAGCTTTGTCTTGTATGTAATAGAAGGGGGAGCAGTTACAAATGCAGGTCTAAATGACTCCTATGGCTACAGGGTTTTTTTTCTCAGAAAATAGGTGGAGGAACTCTATCATGCCCTCATCGCATCACTGGCCATCAACATCATCCACAATTACTCCTCGCCAGTGTGCTACATACTGAATGCAGAATTCAGGATTGGGCTATGTACAGAGTGCGGGGCTCAGAATTGGGCTACGTACAGAGTGCGGGGCTCAGGATTGGGCTACATACAGAGTGCGGGGCTCAGAATTGGGCTACTTACAGAATGCGGGGCTCAGGATTGGGCTACGTACAGAGTCCAGAGCTCAGGATTGGGCTACGTACAGAGTGCGGGGCTCAGGATTAGGCTACGTACAGAGTGCAGGCCTCGGGATTGGGCTACGTACAGAATGTGGTGCTCGGGATTGGGCTACGTACAGAGTGCAGGGCTCGGAATTGGGCTACGTACAGAGTGCGGGGCTCAGGACTGGGCTACATACAGAGTGCAGAGGTAAGGATTGGGCTACGTACATAGTGTGGGGCTCAGGATTGGGCTAATTACAGAGTGTGGGGCTCAGGATTGGGCTACGTACAGAGTGTGGGGCTCGGGATTGGGCTATGTACAGAGTGCGAGGCAGGGGCGGACTGACAACTCATGGGGCCCCCGGGCAATAGGGGATCATGGGGCCCCTGTGTCCTTGCCCAAACTCAAAAAAGTCTATGAAAGGGTACCAGGGGCATCTCATGGGGCCTCCTCCTCCAGTCTTTCCCATGATTGTGATTCCTACTGAACCAGACTGAGAGACCATTTAAAGGCTCAGGAACCCTTTGAGGTGTTATGGCTTAATAAGCTGATTAGAGTGGAACACTTTGAGCCGAGAATATTGCACCTTTTCACAATATTCTAATTTTCTGAGATTGTGGATTTGGGGTTTTCATGAGCTGTAAGCCATAATCATCACAATTATGACAAATCACGGCTTGAACTATCTTGCTTTGCATGTAATGAGTCTATCTCATATATTAGTTTCACCTTTTAAGTTGCATTACTGAAATAAATGAACTTTTGCCCGATATTCTAATTTTTCGAGTTTCACCTGTAAGTCGGTGCATTAAAGCAGTATTAAACCCAAAGCAAACATTACTGTATACTGCAGCTTACCAATTCGTAGATGTGATGGTTACATTAGTTTTATTTTTTAGTCTTTCTTTCTTCTATTTGCATCTGGTGATCTGTCCAGTAAGCAGGGGCGCACTGACAACTCATGGGGCCCCGCAGGCAATAGGTGATCATGGAGCCCCTGTGTCCTTGCCCAAACTCAAAAAAGCCTATGAAAAAGGTACCAGGGGCATCTCATTAGGCCCCCTTCTGACCCCGGACCCTCGGGCAGTGCCCGAGTTTCCAAATGGTCAGTCCGCCCCTGGTGCGAGGCTCAGGATTGGGCTACGTACAGAGTGTGGAGCTCAGGATTGGGCTACGTACAGAGTGTGGGGCTCAGGATTGGGCTACGAACAGAGTATTCGGGCTCAGGATTGGGCTACGTACAGAGTGTGGAGCTCGGGTTTGGGCTATGTACTAAGTGCGGGGCTCAGGATTGGGCTATGAACAGAATGTGGGGGCTCAGAATTGGGTATGAACAGGGTGCGGCGCTCAGGATTGGGCTACGTACAGAGTGCGAGGCTCAAGCTTGGGCTACGTACAGAGTGTGGGGCTCAGGATGGGGCTATGAACAGAGTATGGGGGCTCAGGATTGGGCTACGAACAGAGTGCGGGGCTCAGGATTGGGCTACAAACACAGTGTGGAGCTCGGCATTGGGCTATGTACTGAGTGTGGGGCTCAGGATTGGGCTACGTACAGAATGTGGGGCTCAGGATTGGGCTACGAATAGAGTGCAGGGCTCAGGATTGGGCTACAAACAGAGTGCGGGGCTCGGGATTGGACTACATACAGAGTGTGGGGCTCAGGATTGGGCTACGTACAGAATGTGCGGCTCAGGATTGGGCTACGAACAGAGTGCGGGGCTCAGGATTGGGCTACGTACAGAGTGCGGGACTCAGGATTGAGCTACAAACACAGTGTGGGGCTCGGGATTGGGCTATGTACTGAGTGTGGGGCTCTTGGGCTACGTACAGAATGTGGGCTCAGGATTGGGCTACGAATAGGGCTCAGATTGGGCTACGTACAGAGTGCGGGGGCTCAGGATTGTGCTACGTACAGAGTGGGCTCATGGGCTATGTACAAAATGTGGGGCTCAGGATTGAGCTACGAATAGAGTGCGGGGCTCAGGATTGGGCTACAAATAGAGTGTGGGGCTCGGGATTTGGCTACGTACAGAGTGCAGGGCTCAGGATTGGGCTACGTAAAGACTGCGGGGCTCAGAATTGGGCTACGTACAGAGTGTGGGGCTCAGGACTGGGTTATGTACGTACATTCAGAACGCAGAGTGAAAGATTGTAGTGCAGGTGCAGGTGTACATATCTCACATACTAGTTTTACCCCCCCCCCCCCCCCAAATACAGAGCTCTCCTCCCAAATTTCTGCTTCCTCCTCCCCAGTACAGAGCTCTTCTCTCCTCCCTGCCCAGTGCAGAGTGCCCTTTTCTTCCTCTTTCAGACACTTCTTCTCCTCCCTGTCCAATACACAACACTCCTCCTCTACCCCACAGATGAGAATGTATGGTAACTTACAGTAGGAAGTCAGGCTGCCAACGTGGGCTTCTGTAGATACTACGGGTGAGAGGCTGGAGCTTTGTGCATATCCCACCCCATCCTCCTCCACGCCCCCCCACTCCCCCTCAGTTGTATGTGCAGAGAGAGCAAGGAGGATTTAGTGTGCACTGGGAGAAGATTACTGTCACCCATAAATCACAGAAGCCTTCTGTGTTTTATAGGTGACAGTAGTGAGTGGCCAGCGCTGGAGGTCAAGTCCGGTTGTAGCTAATGCATTAAGAAGAAACTTGAAGTTGCTGGCTGACTGAGCCCCCCCTGTCACAGTGAAGGGCCCAGGCACCCAACAGGAGGCCCAGAGGTACACCCTTATCAGTGGCCCTGAAGGTTTTACAGAAGTGAAAAAATGGACCAGTCTATTGAAATTATCCCTATCATGGGTAAAATAATTTGTTCCAACCCTTCAACTGCCACTTTGAATAAACAGCTTGGTCTGTTAAAGGAAAAATAGTTTAAACAATAGCAAACTTATTGGCTGGATCAACAGGTGAAAATGAAGGGAAAAAAGAAAACTAATGCAGACACCACAACTAAAGCCTGATAATTGCAGCAGCATCAAAGTCTCTATTACATTTTAAGGCTAGGAAATGTTTCACCACTTCCTGATAGTGTCAAAGCTTGACAGCCCCTAACTGCTACTTGCACCTTCCAGGTGGCCAGTGGAGTAACCTATCAGAGTGATGGGTAAATAGGAATGCATGGGGTGTTTAGGAATATGTGTTTAAACTGTGATACTAACAGAAAATGCAAACATCTTGGGGTTCTTGAATACCATATCCCTAAAATCTTTCATTTTTCAACTTAGTGACAGAGTTGCCTAAAATTACAATTTTTAATAATCATTGAGTGGAATTTATCAAACGTGTAGCAAACAGAACCTGGAGCAACTGAGCATGGCAATCAGTCACCTTCTATCTTTCATTTACAATGCCTACCTGAACAAGCTCAGGATAGAAGCTAATTGGTTGCCATACACGGCTGCTCCATATTCTGTCTGTTCCAGTTTTGATAAACTCATTACCTTTTAGTTAAATCACTTATCACTAATAGAAATGTATATTCTACTCTTTGTATTTTACAAAAAAACATTTATTAGCTCATTTTCATCAAGTAGTATTAGTATATTTAAGTCAGCGGCAATTAGATACAAATTGCTAAACAGTAATGTCAACAGATCTCCTTACCTGCAAACTTAGACCTGTGAGTTCTCATTGTGTTCATATACAAATGCAAAGCCCCGTGCATCGGAG